GTAGTGTCGGGGCTCCGAGAGGCCCCGACATCACGCGGGAGGGCCCCGACACCACGCGGGAGGTCTGATACCACGCGGGGACCCATCGTGGGAGGCCCCGACACCACGCGGGGGACCCCGACACCACGCGGGAGGCCGCGACGCCACGCAGGTGGCCCCGACACTACGCGGGAGCCTCAGGAACTTCAGAAGCTTCAGGAGCTTCGGAAGCTTCAGGAACTTCAGGAGCTTCAAAGAGAAGCTTCGAGAGCGTCAGGGGCTTCAGGGGTTCGCGTGGTGTCCTCCAGGACGGCGACGATGGTCCAGAAGAGCCCCGAACGGCCGAAGAAGCGCCTGAGACGGCCCAGAGGGCCTCCAATCGGGCCTCCGAGAAAAGGGCCGAAGAGGCCACAAACATGGCTTTCCTTGGGCTTTCGCTTCTCAGCGGCCCCCCGCTCGGCGCGAAGCGCGGCGGCGCTCGCTGGGGCGCCGGGGGCCGCGGCAGCAGCTTGCAGACTTCTGGGGTGCTCTGCGCGGCCCGCGACGGAGGCCTGGGCGAACCCCCTCGGAGGCCTCCCGCAGAGTGCGCGGAGAGCCTCCGAGAGCCCGCGGGAGCCGCCGAACCCCTCCGAAGGCCGCCGAAGGCCTCCTCGTCCTCCTCCCGCTCCTCCTCCTCCTGCTCGTCCCCCGACTCCTCCTCCTCCTCCTCCTCCTCCTCCTCCTCCTCCTCCTCCTCCTCCTCTCCTCCTCCTTCCGCTCCTCTCTCCTCCTCCTCCCGCTCCTCCTCCTCCTCCTCCTCTCCTCCTCCTCCTCCTCCTCCTCCTCCTCCTCCTCCTCCTCCTCCTCCTCCTCCTCCTTCCGCTCCTCCTCCTCCTCCTCCTTCCTCCTCCTCCTCCTCCTCCTTCCTCCTCCTTCCTCCTCCTTCCTCCTCCTCCCTCCGCCCGCTCAGCGGACGACGAGGCCGCCAACCTTTTCCTCGCCTCAAGCCCATCCGACGCGCGGCCCACCTCCTCCGAAGCCGCCTGCTTCGGCAATGAGGCGAGCGCGGGCCCTGTCCTTGCCGCAGCTGCGAGCCGTGACGCCCCGCCCCCCGTCCCAGAAGCCTCCCGCGGTGCCTCCGCGGGGCGTGCGCTGGGCCGTGGACGAGGCTCTGGCGCGGAGGGCAGACGAGGCTCTGCCCCCTCTGGCCTGCCCTGCTGCTGCACCCCCTCGGAGCAGCACACATCTGGCTTGCCGTCGCTCGGGCGTCCATTTCCCGTGCATTTGTCGGTCTCGTGCGTGTTTTTTTGGCTCGATGGTCCAGGATGGTCCTCGATGGTCATCGCCGAGGAAACATGCACACGTCCGAGCGATGCCAGGCTGGAGCCGCTGCCGATCCACTGCCCGTGCTGCGCCCCGCTGCGCAGTCAGCCCAAGCCGCTGGTCTTGGTGTGGTCGGCGCTGTCGCGGACCCTGCCCCGCTCTCCGCGCCCGCCGCGAGCAGTGCAGCCCCACCTCCCGTCCCAGTGTAAAAGGGCTCTGGAACCCGAGGGGGACGAGGCCCCGCTCGTGCCTGAGCCGTCCCAGGCAGCCAAGGAGCGCGCGTTCCAGTCGAAAACGCGTCGCCTTCCAAGAGCCGCTGGAGGCAGCCCGACGACAGGGGGCGGGGAGCGGGGGGTTGGACGAGGACGATTCAGACTAGCGCCAAGGAGGCACGGCCTCGATTGTGGCGCTAGCGCGTCCTCTCTGTCTCTGCCTGGCCTCTCTCGAGGCCGCGTGCTCTGTGCCAGCAACGACTCGCCGATGTTGCTGGCCATCTTCACTCGGGCCAGCCTTCAACCTGGCCAAATAGCAACTGCATCCTCGCGGGGAACGAAGCAATCCTCCTCCTCCTCCTCCTCCTCCTCCTCCTCCTCCTCCTCCTCCTACTCTTCCATCTCCTCCTCCTCCTTCTTCTCCTCCTCCTTCTCCTCCTCCTTATCCTCCTGCTGTTCCTCCTCCTGTTTCTCCTGTTCCTCCTGTTCCTCGTCCTCCTCCTCCTCCTCCTGCTCGTCCTCCTCCTCCTTCTCCTCCTCCTCCTCCTCTTCCTCCTCGTCCTCCACCTCCTCCTCCTGTTGCTCCTCCTGTTCCTCCTCGTCCTCCTCGCCCTCGTCCTCGTCCTCCTCCTCATCCCTCTCCTCCTCCTCCTGCTCGTCCTCCTCCTCCTCCTCCTCCTCCTCCCTCCTCCTCCTCCCTCTTCCCTCCTCCTCCTCCTCCCCTCCTCCCTCCTCCTCCTCCTCTTCCTGCTCGTCGTCTTCCTCCTCCTCCTCCTGCTCCTGCTGCTCCTCCTCCTCCTCCTCCTCCTCCTCCTCCTCCTCCTGCTGCTGCTCCTCCTGCTCGTCGTCTTCCCCCCTCCTCCTCCTCCTCCTCCTCCTCCTGCTCGCCCCCTCCTCCTCCTCCTCCTCCTCCTCCTCCTCCTCCTCCTCCTCGTCCTCGTCCTCGTCTGTCCTCGTCCTCGTCCTCGTCGTCCTCGTCCTCCTCCTCCTCCTCCTCCCTCCTCCTTCCTCCTCTCCTCCTCCTCCTCCTCCTCCTCCTCCCCTCCTCCCTCCTCCTCCCCCTTCCCCTCCTCCTCCTCTCTGCTCGTCCTCCTCCCTCCTCCTCCTCCTCCTCCTCCTGTTTGTCCTCCTCCTCCTCCTTCTTCTGTTCCTCCTCCTCTTCCTGCTCATCGTCTTCCTCCTCGTCCTCCTGCTGCTGCTGCTCCTCCTCCTCCTGCTGCTGCTGCTGCTCCTCCTCCTCTTCCTCCTCCTGCTCGTCTTCTTCTTCCTCCTCCTCCTCCTCCTCCTCCTCTTCCTCCTCGTCGTCGTCCTCGTTCTCCTCCTGCTCCTCCTCCTCGTCCTTCTCCTCCTCCTCCTCCTCCTCCTCCTCCTCCTCTTCCTCCTCCTTCTTCTGTTCCTCCTCCTCCTCCTGCTGCTGCTCCTCCTCCTCCTGCTGCTTTTCCACCTCCTCGTCGTCGTCGTCCTCCTCCTCCTCCTCCTCCTCCTCGTCCTCTTCCTCCGCCTCCGCCACCTTCTCCCCGGAGGTCTGGGAGGAGGAGGTGGAAGCCCTCGATCCCATCACACTAAATCGCAACGTCGAGCAATCGCAGCCCCGAGCAGACTTCCCGACCCCGTCCCCGTGTGCGGGGGCTCTTCCCGAGCCAGATCGATCCGCGGGGGCCCCGCTGCGGGCCCGGCGTGGGGCGCAGGCGGAGGCGCCCGTCGAGATCCTTTCCTCACGGCGACTGGGGGGGGGCGGTCGGAGGGACGCGGAGGGGCCTCGTTCAACCGATGCCTGCCCCCTGTCCCCATCGAGAGGAGGCGAGCCTGGTTTTGGCCAAGACAGCAGCAGCGGCGCGCCTCTCCCTCCCTCTCTCTCCGCTTCCTGTTCTCTCTCTCTCTCTCTCCTCCTAACTGCTTGGCGTGGCCTCGGCCCCGCCGGCCAACCCGCCAGCCCCAGATGGGGGGCGCATGCCCGTTGCTTCGGGCTCCCTGGGGCCTGCCTCCACCTGGGGGGGGGGGGGGGGCTGGTGGGGCTGCGATGCCACGGCCCAGTGGGGATGGGGAGTTTGGGTGACCCCAAAGGGGGTCCAGCTGCAAGGGGGTGGTGCAATAGATTTGAAGCAATTGTGTAGCAAATGTATTGCGCCGGAGAATTGTATTGCATTGTATTGCACTTAATGTATTGCACGCGAAAATCCAGCAATACATGTGCGCCCCGGAATGTATTGCACGCCCAAAATGTGTTGCAACCCCACAAATGTATTGCACCAAATCTATTGCACCACCCCCTTGTCGCTGGACCCCCTTTTGGGCCAACCCGAGGGAGGCAGGTGCGACGGTGCTGCGAGGAGGCGCCGGCGACGAGCGCCTGCCCCGCCCCCCCCTGGCCCCCCCTGGGCGAGATTTGAGGCACTGGGAAGAGCTCTCCGACTCCGCTGTCGGCCAGTCGGCCAGTCGGAGTCGGCCAGGGCCGGGGGGGGCGAGTCGGGTGGTCCATCCCGGTGCCCCACACATTTTCTAGGTGCCCCTGGAACATCTTGAACAAGCCCCACACATTCTCTAAGTGCCCCACACATTTTCTAAGTGCCGCCTGCTCGCTTCCCTGGAACATCTCGAGCGAGCCCGCCATGTCTGCTCGGACGCGGGCCTGCGCCCGCTCGCGCTGAAGGCTCTCCGCCTCGGCCCGCTCCGCGCCGACATCGGCCCGCAGGCTCTGAGACTCGGCGCGCTCGGCGCCGAGCTTCTCGACGCGCTCGGAGCCATCCTTCTGGACCTCGAGCGCGCGGCAGCCGCTCAGCAGGGCCAGTGCCACGGGAAGCAGGGCACCTTCTGAGGAGGGGGGGAGTGGAGGGGGAGGAGGGGGTGGGGGAGGTGGCGGGGGAGGAGTGCGAGGAGGGGAATGTGGGAGACAGGGAGGGGCAATCCTGCGTCCTTGGGTCTTGGCGGCTTCCATATGCTTTCGGCGCCCTTCGGACATGTTCAACACCGTTCTGGTGCGTTCGGCAGTTTCCGCGGGCGTACGGAGGTGTCGGAGGTTTCCGCAAGTGGAGAGAGGACGGAGGGAAGGGATGGGAAGAGACAAATCATGGGGATGGGTTGTTAGAATAAGTAAACGGCTCCACACGGCAAGGGGTTCTGTTGGGATGGGGGAAGGTGGACTGGAGGCGTGAGTAGAAAGAGAAGTGATAGGGGAGGAGAAAGGAAAGGGAAAGGTGAACGGGATGGGGAGGAGGCAGAGGAAAGAGGAGGGAATGGAGGACTGTACGAGGTGAAGCGAATTCAAGCGATGCCAGTCGATTCTAAGGGGTGCCCGTGGGAGAGGGGAGCGGGGGAGGATGAGAGGAAAAGAGGGAGGAGTGGCGAGGGCAAGCGCGAGGGGGAGGAGATAAGGGGGAGGTTAGGAGGTGGGGGATAGGAGGATGAGTTGTTGCTCAATGCGCGTCGGCCCTGAAGACGTTGGACGGTTCTCAAACGTTCGCGGAAACATGGGCAGCATGGGGGGAAAGGATTATGTGGAAAGGACGGCAAGAATCGTGGATGGACAGAACCCCCATTAGTAAAACGTGGTTTAGTGAAAACGACCTCGGGCCCAAACCTGGCGGGCGCAAGCCTGGAAAATGACGGCCGCGGCGCACTCTCGAGAACCGAAAACGGACAATTCACTAATCGACGTGTCAGGGTGGGGGTTCAGTCCACCCCCGAAAGAAAAAGGGGATGAGGAGGCCGAGGCGGAGGGACGGAGGCGGGGACAGAGAGAGGGCGAGAGGGAGCAAGAGGAAGGGGAGGCGCGCGGAGCGCGTGGCTTACAATCGGGCCTAGGACATACTCGCACTCTCCAAGAACATGGGGCTCTCCGCTGGCCAAAACACACAGAGAACATACAATGGTACCCACCCCAAGATGCACAAGAACATCCGAACATCCAATCCATACGGAGAGCTTTCGGGTACCCTCACCGAACCGACCTCGATCTCGTGCCTCGGTCCGGCTGTATAGGGATATAAGAGCCTTTCCACACACGGGGAAGCGCAGCCATACTGCGTGGCACGGACCTCGCGCAGCTGGCACAATGTGGTCCACCAGGCTGCCGATGGAACCCGACACCACGGCAGCCCGAGGCGACGAGGGAAGCGAGGTGCCCAGGAGACCCAGCGCGCCCCAACAGGCACTCCCACCGCCCAGGCCCTCCGAGGACGGCCATTGAGGCAAGAACACCACCTCCGCGGGGGCGGACGGGCAAACACCCAAAGACCCCACAGGGGCTGCCACAACCAGAAGGAGCTGGCCATCGCCCCAGAGGCGACGACCAACTCCCGAGGCCCCACGCCCCCAGACCCAGCCAGCTAAAGAACCGAGTCCAACGAGGCGGGCCCCAGCAGCTCCGAGCCACGTGGGCAAAGCGCTCAACCGAGGTGGGTCGGCGCCTCGCGGCTCGAACTATGGAGGCACAGCTGCGCGCTCAGCACTGGCTCGGCCAATCGCGCCTCAAACTCCTCTGTGCCCAGCCCGGCGAAATCTTCCTCCTCAACAGCGTTTTTTCCGTTCCCTGTGCGCACCCTGGCCTTTCCGCTTCGGCTTCACGGAAAAGGTTGCCGGCGGACTCGGCATGCATCGGGCTCTGGACGTCGCTGCCAGTAGAGTTGAAACCGACCGCGAGCGCCGTCGACTGGCCCTGCACGCGCTCCAACTGCACGCCGTCAACGGGTATGCCCTGCGGGCCATCGTCGTGCAAGGTGATGCGACCGAAGGAACAATCACACTCAACGTCCTCACCCACAAGCTCGGCGCCCTTCTGTTCAGCAGACCCCAGCTTCTTGCCGTCAAAACTCTTCAGCAACTGTACAAAGACTCCTCTGAAAAGGTCGGTGATCTAGTGAACCTCCAAGCCATTCTTCTGCAACGTGCCAAGATCAAGCGACACGGGCACGGCAGCGATGTTCTAGTCCGTGACGCAGTCGGTTTCGTTATGTCCCTCCTGCGTGCGGGTCACGCACTCGTTCAAGCTGATCGTGTCGGCTCCCTTCTTCGAGGTGTGGTAGCGCAAAAGCTCCGCGGACGCACGTCAACAACCATCACGAGCTCGTCCCTGACCTGGCCTGTGCCCGTGCTCTCGGATGCGCACTCCAGGAGGGGCTGTTGGCCAGCCGCATGGCGGAGCGCCGGCGTCTCCACGCCAGCCTGCAAGACCCCCAGCTCATCCTCGCGCTCCTGGATGCGGAACGTGTCGGCCGTCGACCTGCCGTCTTCGGCTCGTGCTGGCCAGCCGCCATGCCCGCAGCGCAATCCTCGTCATCCTGCGCAACCTTCGCACTCAACGACGTGCCGCTGCCCTCCGGACCGCTGCGGCCGCCGTGCACCACGCCCGTGCCCGCCGTCAGGCTGTCCACCTTCTCCGCGTGCGCTCGGGCGCCTCGATCTCCGCGGCCGCGAGCGAGCACTTGCCGACTGTCGATGTGATGATCTTTTTCACCACGCGCGCTCGGGCCCCGCAGCTGCGGCGAGTCACAAAGCTGAGCCCTCCCTCCGCCCTTGCGCTGGGAGGGCCTGCACCAGGAAGCGGCGTCGGGGAAGGAGGCAGGGGGACGTGGCAGTAGTGATCTCCAACACCGGCGAAACCAGCATCGGACTTGAGACCATCGATCGTGCTGGGCGTGCCGCCCTTCGCCGGCGCAGCACGCACTCGCTCAGGCTCAGGACGCCCCTGGAGGAGCCAGCGCTCGGCGGCCTGCTCGGTAAGCCTCCCGCTCCTTGGCCAACGAGCGCCGGCCAGTGGAGCGGAGAGCACGCCGAACCTCCCCCGTGGTCGCCTTGCCCTGCCCACCCAGCTGCTCCCCAGCATACCCATCGGTCGGAAGAAGTAGGCAGAAACATGAAGTAGGAAAGCGCTGGAAGTAGAACGGGTTCCGCCCGCCCCCTTGGGCGGACGGACAAGGTGAAGCCACTCGACCATTGAAGTAGGAAGGCGCTCGAAGTAGATGGGACTGTGGGAATTCCTAAACCAGGGGAACGAAGAATGACATAAACATAAGAACTCGGAGGTCCGCGCGGATTTCTCGGATCGGCGCTGGGGCCCCCCTCCCTGGCGCGCTCCGCGCTCCAGGGAGGGGCGGCGCCAGAGGCACCGCCAGGGGGCCCCAGCGCCGATCCGAGAAGTCCGCGCGGGCCTCCGAGTTCTTATGTTTCTGCCATTTCTTCGTTCCCCTAAAAATGCCGACTGTCAGCGACCGAGATGTACTCGAGCGTCGCTTCGCAGCCCTCCAGCATGCTGCACGCCGCGCAAGAAGGCACCTCCCCCCCTGGCGGCCAGATCAGACGGCCTCCCGAGCAGCCGCCTCCACCGAGGCAGCGCCGCAGATGGCCGACGCCATGCACGCCGCGCGCCCGACGCCAACACCGCGCCGAGCACCGCCGCCAAAGCAACCCACGTCCAACTGCTGTTCACGCCTGCTCTGGCCGCCAGGGGGGGGAGGTGCCTTCTTGCGCGGCGTGCAGCATACTGGAGGGCTGCGAAGCGACGCTCGAGTACATCTCGGTCGTTGAAAGTATACATTTTTAGGGGAACAAGCAGTGACATAAACATAAAAACTCGAAGTCCGCGCGGACTTCTCGGATCGGCGCTGGGGCCCCCTGGCGGCGCCTCCGGCACCGCCCCTGGCGCGCTCCGCGCTCCAGGGAGGGGAGGGGGGTCCAGCGCCGACCCGAGAAATCCGCGCATACCTCAGAGTTTTTATGCTTATGCCAATGTTCGTTCGCCTACTCTCCACTTCGGTCTCCAAAGTTCTCATTTGAATATTTGCTGCTACCACCAAGGTCTGCACCAGGAGCTGTTTCACCCAGGCTTGCGCCGTTGTGGTGCCCTCGCCGCCATGCGTCCCATGACGCCCACAGCGAGCCATGAGGAGACGACAATTCTGACGGGACAAAGATCGCGAGAGAAGAACCCGTAACGGAATGATCAAGTGTGAACAACTGGGCCCCAGACCCAACCCGCTCGAGCCCAAACGGCTACGGAAAGAGGCAGGGGACAGAGGAAGGGAAAGGGAGGGGAAAAGGAGGAGGAGGAGGAGGAGGAGGAGGAGGAGGAGGAGGAGGAGGAGGAGGAGGAGGAGGGGGACGTGGGTAGAGAGGAGGAGGAGGAGGGGAGGAGGAGGAGGAGGAGGAGGAGGAGGAGGGGGATGAGGGGGAGGGAGGAGAACGGCACCACTGCGCCCCATCTGAGATAATACCGGAGTTCGTGTGTAGAACGCCAATCCAATCCCACCCCCGCGCCCTGACCCCCGTCTCTTTCGACAATCCACCACTCTGAACTGTTACTATCCTCCTCGACGCCGTGCGTCCATGCACCACCCGCTCCCGCGTATTGCTCTGCACACCCCCGAAGCACGATGCTCTGCGCGTGTTCTTCAGCTCGCGACGTCCTCGGCCTCTTTTGAAGCCGCTCCCGCCTTGACGCCTGCCGCCCTCCTTCCCCCCCTTCATGATCACCCGTGAGGAGTCCGCCACCGTGCCCTCAGCGCACGATGGAGTGCCCCGGGGCCCATGCACCTGTGAGTGCAGTCGAGCTTGATTGGAAAGGACACGCGAGAGGACACAAGACCCTTCCGAGGGCCACATCGCCATAGGAATGTAGAGGACATGGGTCGAGACCCACACACACACACACGCACGTGACACGAGGGTACCCTTGATTTGGTAGGGTCGACCTACCAGTCAAACTCGACTGTCGTCGAACTGATGTGGGACGTCCTTGGTCCTTCGAAACGGCGATCTCGCACCGACTTCTGCAACACCCCCACCCCTGTGCAGTGACCCGGAGTGAAAACTAGATTGATCTCCTCAATCCCCTGATCACTTTCGGCGGTGCGCCTGGGGGGATGTGAGAGGGGGCGGGCCTTCTCAGATGGCTCGGAAGTTCTCCAGCCTCCCGAGAAATGTTCAGAGCCTTCCCCGAAAACACAGACAACGTCAAAGAAAGCTGGAAGGCTTCTGAGAAGCTCCGCCGCCTTCTGAGAAAGCCTTCTCCTTCTCACTTCCCCCCTGGGCGCGCCGCTAAATTTGGTTTTCGGGTCATGACTCGGATCTCCGGCGGCCGTTCGGGACGATCCCAGCACCCCCGGAACGCCCTCGGCGAGGCGCAGCTGCCGGAACGCACCCCGAGGCTGGAAAGCCGCCAAGGACTACGAAAACGACCGATAACCTGGGACCTCGAACCCGTACCCCCATCGCCGCCGGTAAGATTGTCATCCCTCCGAGCTTTCTGAGAAAGCCCGCCCTTGCTCACTTACAGTGGATTGGACACGTTCCACAAGAAACCCAACCCTGAGACCCCAGGACGTCCACTGACCTTTGGTGTGGGAACGTCGCGCTTTCCATGGCAAGAGCATCGAAACCCAAGTAACTCAGGGCACCCTGGAGGCAAGCAGGGTGTTTCTTGGCATGGGTCTTCACTCCACCCTTGCCCAGTGCCCAAAACAGCCAGCGTGCTGTTGCCAGTACCTGCGAGCCGAGAGGGGCAGCGTGCACGGTTTCCCCCGGGGCCGTAGGCGACCCGAGGATGAGGAGGGGGAGGAGGGGGAGGAGGAGGAGGAGGAGGAGGAGGAGGAGGAGGAGGAGGAGGCGGAGGAGGAGGGAGGAGGAGGAGAAGGCGGAGGGAGGGAGGAGGCGAAAGGGGGAGGAGGAGGAGGAGGAGGACGAGATGAGGAAGGAGCGGAGGAGGAGGAGGAGGCGAGGAGGAGAAGGATGAGGAGGAGAGGAGGCGGAGGAGGAGGAGAAGGGGCGGAGGAGGGGAGGAGGAGAGGAGGAGGAGGAGGAGGAGGAGAGGGCGGAGGAGGAGGAGGAGGAGGAGGGGGAGGAGGAGGAGGAGAGGAGGAGGAGGAGGAGGCGGAGGAGGAGGGCGGAGAGGCGTAGGAGGAGGAGGCGGAGGAGGGGAGGAGGAGGAGGAGGAGGAGGAGGAGGAGGAGGCGGAGGCGGCGGAGGAGGGGGATGAGGAGGCGGAGGATGGAGGAGGAGGAGGAGGAGCAGGAGGAGGAGGAGAGAGAGGAGGAGGAGGGGAGGAGGAAGGAGGAGGAGGAGGAGGAGGAGGAGGAGGAGGAGGAGGAGGTGGGAGGGGAGGCGGAGGAGGAGGAGGAGGAGGAGGAGGAGGAGGGGAAGGCGGAGGAGGGAGGAGGAGGAGGAGGAGGAGAGGAGGAGGAGGAGGAGGAGGAGGAGGAGGAGGCGGAGGAGGAGGAGGAGGAGGAGGAGGAGGAGAGGAGGATGGGCGAGGAGGAGGAGGAGGAGGAGGAGGAGGAGGAGGAGGAGGAGGAGGAGGAGAGGGGAGGAGGAGGAGGAGGGAGCGGTAGGAGGAGAGAAGGAGGAGGAGGAGGGGTGAGGAGGAGAAGAAGGAGAGGGGAGGAGGAGGAGGCGGAGGAGGGGAGAAGGAGAAAAGAAGGAGGAGGAGGCAAGGGGGAGGAGGAGAAGGAGGAGGAGGAGGGGAGGAGGAGGGAGGGGGAGGAGGAGGAGGGGGAGGAGGAGAAGGAGCAGGGTGTTTCTTGGCAGGGGTCTCCACTGTACTCCTCCCCCCTTGGCGCACCTGCGCGGAAGGAGGCAGCGATTGGGGGGGAAGTCTGCGGGGGCGGGGGCCGCGCGCGGGTGGCCTCGGGCACAGAGAAGGACCAGTGCACCGTCAGACCCCCGAGAGCTAGGGCGCGCGACGAGAAGACGAGGCCAGGACGAGGATAAATCCTCCTCCTCCTCCTCCTCCTCCTCCTCGTCCTCCTCCTCCTCGTCCTCCTCCCTCTTCTCTCCTCCTCCTCCTCCTCCTCCTCCTCCTCCTCCTCATCCTCATCCTTCATCCTCAGCCCTCCTCCTCCTCCTCTTCCTCCTCCTCCTCCGCTTCTGCTCCTCCTCCTCCTCCTCCTCCTTCTCGTTCTCCATCCTCCTCCACTTCTTCTATACCTCCGATTCCTCCTCCAGTTTCTTCCTCCTTCTCCGCCTCCTCCTCTTCCTCCTTCTTCTCTCTCCTCCTCTTCTTTCCTCCATCCTTCTTCTCCTCCTCCTCCTCCTCCTCCTCCTCATCTTTCATTATCCTCTTCTTCCTCCACTAAGACGGAGCCAGGACGAGGATTACATCCGGTGAGGATACATCGAGAGTGTCTGACATCCGGCGGCTCTGGAGGATGTATCGGGCGCCACGACCTTCTCAGAGCGTTCCAGATCGCTCTGAGAGCTTTCCAGGATTCCAGGACGCTCTGGAACGGATTTCTCCTTGTCCTAGCCTGGTCCGATCCATCCTCCCTCCTCCTCCTCCTCCTCCTCCTCCTCCTCCTCCTACTCTTTATCTTTCATTCTCCTCCTCCTCCTCCTCCCTCTCCTCCTCCTCCTGCTCCTCCTCCTCCTCCGCCTCCCCCTCCCCACCTCCCTCCTGCCGGTTCTGCTCATGGCGCTGCTCGTGGTGCGCGTCTCTACTCGGCCCAGAGGTCGCCTGGGCTTTGCGCGATGCCCAATCCCACCTTGCCGACTGCCCCCCCCACCCGTGCGCACCAGAGGACGTACCAGGCACCACACATGCCAGCTCCATGGTCGAGGTCCAGCTTTGGGAGGAGGAGGAGGTGGGAGGAGGCGGAGGAGGAGGAGGAGGAGGAGGAAGAGGAGGAGGAGAGGAGAGAGGAGGAGGAGGAGGAGGAGGAGGAGGATGGGGTGAGAGGAGGAGGTGGAGGTGGAGGAGGAGGAGGAGGAGGAGGAGGAGGAGGAGGAGGAGGAGGCGAGGGAAACGCGGCCCACGGGCGAGCTTTGCGAAGCGGTGGGCGAGAGGGTAGGCCCACGCGCACATAACTTGCCCCTCTCTCTTCACAGAGTGAGCCACGGAACAAACACTGCAAGCGCCATCTTGACACCTCACTGCGCGAAAGCGAGGGTACGTGCACAACGGGAAGGGAAGGTCGGGAAAGGTGGCATGTCATGTGCGGTAGGATCAAGCCTTTCTTGCCCCTCTCCCCCTCCCCTATCTGGCCGTCGCCCCCCGTGGTGGACGAGGGGGGAGGAAAACATCAAAGGGATTGGATTGGCGGATTGCAGACGGGAGCCCCTCGCAGAGGTTCAGGGTAAGGGACCAGTGTGCAGATCCTTTGAGCCAGACGGCCACGGCGGCGGCCGCACAGGTGACGGCGGCCCGCGAGGCCTGCAGCGGGACGACGACGGCGATGGCTCTCTGTGCGCACAGAGGGGAAACGGCCCCCCAGCGTGACCTCGAGTGTGAGATGCAGGCTGCAGCCCTCGAGCTACCAATGGGGCGCGCCACGGGTGGCGCCGCCCGGGGGCGTCTGGCGTGTGTGTGTGTGTGTGTGTGTGTGTGTGTTTGTATATATATATATATAGAGGAATAACAACACATAATCCGCGCGGACCTCCGAACATGTAAGTCCGTGGCGTTTGCCTTTGCCTTCCTTGATGCCAGCCGCCGTGCCCAAGCGGCGAACATCTCCCCGTATCCACGCCCTCGCGGTCCGGATTCCAGGGCGCGAAGCCCGCGAGCACGCGGTCGGGGACGGAGCCGTGCTGCGCGGGGCACCCGCGCGGTAAAAGCGGCCCCGCATCCGTGGGGTCGCGGCCCAGGGGCCGGGCCGGCGAGGCAACAGATCTGCAAATGCTTCCCGCCCACGAGCTCCGGACATCCGCATTTTTTTTTTTTTTTTTTTTTTTTGATTGTTTTCCTTTTTTTCGTTGTTCTCCAATGCGCGGCCCCAGAACTCCCGACCCCGATCTGACTGACGCTCCCGGGGCCCGCTGCCGGCCTCCAGAGGCCGAACCCCGCGAGACAAGACAACAAAAATCACGCGGGGTCGAGAGGCGATGTCACCGGAGACCCGTGGCCGAGCGGGGCCCGTACCGCAGGGGCCCGACCACAAGAGAAACCTTCCACAGGCAACCCAACCCTGAGACCCCAGGGCGTCCACGGATTTTTGGGGTGGGAACGTCGTGCTTCCCATGGCAGAGACATCGAAACCCAAGAAACCCCGGGCACCCTGGAGGCAAGCAGGGTGTTTCTTGGCATGGGTCTCCACTCCACCCTTGCCCAGTGCCCAAAACAGCCAGCGTGCTGTTGCCAGTACCTGCGAGCCGAGAGGGGCAGCGTGCACGGTCCCCCCCGGGGCCGTAGGCGACCCGAGGATGAGGAGGGGAAGGAGGGGGAGGAGGAGGAGGAGGAGGAGGAGGAGGAGGAGGAGGAGGAGGAGGAGGAGGAGGAGGAGGAGGAGGAGGAGGAGGGATTTGAGGAGGAGGAGGAGGAGAAGGAGGGGGGGAGGAGGAGGAGGAGGAGGAAGGGGAGGAGGAGGAGGAGGAGGAGGAGTGAGGAGGAGGAGGAGGAGGAGGAGGAGGAGGAGGAGGAGGAGGAGGAGGAGGAGGAGGATGGGGAGCGAGGAGGAGGAGGAAGGGGAGAAGGAGAAGGAAGGGTAGATCTGGACGTGCTCCGCTTCGTCCCGCACCAATGCTGAAGGGCTATCCCCTGGGGGTCCGGGTGGACGCCCCCCCCCTGCACAATCGGAAGACCGCGGCCGTGCAGTTACCGAAGGGCCCGTGGTTTGCCGCCGTCGGCGCAGAGAAAATCGAGCTCCACATCGAGCCGCATCGTCGATGCATCGGCTATGCGGCGCGATCCTCCGACCCCCACCCAGGGAAACCAAACGGTATCTTCACCGCTACTCTGAGGCCGGGCATGTCCTCCTACAGGCGGATTTTGGACGACAAAACAAGTAGTCAAAAAATACTCCCGAATAGCCAGCTCCCGGGGGTGCGCTCTGACCAAGACCTCGAGGCGAATCCAGTGGTGGCGACGGAGGGCCTCCCTGCAGGCCCGGACAAGGGAAAACGGACGAGGGGTGGCGGCATGGGCACCCTTCCCTCCTCCGAGCCACAAGCAGAGGCCTCGTGTATGGGGTCGGAGTAGCTGTGGTCGGAGGATCGCGCCGCATCGCCGATGCATCGGCGATGTATCGGCGATACATCGGCGATGCACCGGCAACGCCTGTGATGCACCGGCAACGTCGCGTGGAGAAAATCGGGCTCCACATCGAGCTGCAAAGCCGATGCATCGCCGATGCGGCACCTTTCTAAGGGAACGAGAAATGGCATATAAAAACTCGGAGGTCCGGGCGGATTTCTTGGATCCGCGCTGGACCCCCCTCCCTGGCGAGCGGAGCGCGCCCAGGGCGGCGCTGGAGGCGCCGCCAAGGGGCCCCAGCGCCCATCCGAGAAATCCACGCGGACCTCCGAGTTATTATGTTTATGCCATTGTTCGTTTCATACCGCTCTGCCCGGTGTGGGGAGGTGGGATAGGCCTTTTTTTTGTGTCTTATCCTGTTGTAGGAGAGCTGCAATCCTCTTTTCTCCTCATCCCGTTCATCCTCCTCTCCTCCTCCTCCTCCTCCTCCTCGTCATCCTCCTACTCCTCTCTAGTCCATTCCTCACCCGCCCCCCTCCCTCCTCCTCCTCATGCTACGTTAACCTCCTCCTCCTCCCCTCGTCCCTCCTCCTTCTCCTCCCTCCTCCTCCTCCTCCTCCTTAGTTTCTCATCATACTCCTCCCTCCTCCTCCTCCTCCTCCTGCTCCTTAAACTCCTCCTCTCCCGTCCTCCCTCCTCCCTCGTCCTCTTCCTCCTCCTCGTCCTCCTCCTCCTCTTCCTCCTCGTCCTCCTCGTTCGTCCTCCTCCTCCTCCTCCTCCTCCTCCTTCACCTCCTCCTCCTCCTCGTCCTCGTCCTCGTCCTCGTCCTCGTCCTCCTTCACCTCATCCTCCTTTTCCCTCCCCCGAGCCACGGGGGGGACGCCGAGGGAGGACGAGTGGGGCTTCACGGGCCACGGCGGGTCCCAAGGCCACGGGCGGGGCCCCCGGACCTGTCGGGGGGCGGCCAAGAGGGGGGGGCGCCCATTGTTGGCGCGGAGGAGGGGGAGGGAGGAGGAGGAGGAGGAGGAGGAGGAGGAGGAGGAGGAGGAGGACGAGGAGGAGGAGGAGGAGGAGGAGGAGGAGGATGGAGGGGAGGAGGAGGGAGGAGGAGGAGAGGCGGAGGAGGAGGCGGAGGAGGAGGAGGAGGAGAGGAGGAGGAGGAGGAGGAGGAGGAGGACAGGGGGCCTCCCAAACCCAGGCCACAGTGCGCGAAGCGGCCTCCCAAACCCAGGCCACAGTGCGCGAAGCGCGGCAATCTTCGCGCCCCTTCGGGGGGGACCTGCGCTGCAGGCCTCGCAAAATGGGGTCCGAGTAGGTGGGGGCGGAGGACCGCGTCACATCGTCCACGGATCGCTAAAACATCTTGGCGGCGCGCACAAGGGGGTAGAGGGGGGGGAGGGCTTCTTAGAAGCCTTCTGAGACGCAGGGGTGCCTCTGAGAAGCCCTCACCCCTCCCCCCACCCCCCTCTGCGCGTGGCCGAGTCCAAGAGGGGGGGGCGCAGATCGTGGCCGGCGGCATGTGCGCGGCCCATGGGGGGGGGGGCTGGGGACGTGCAGGCTTTGGAAAAAAAACAACGAACCTCGGGGGCGCGCAAGCATGGATTCGCGATCCATGGATGTGGCGCGCGGTCGCCAAATCCATGGATCGGGGAAGGTGCCCTCCCCAAAGTGCGGCCGGTGCCGCCTCGTTCGGCAGCGGAAATCCGCGATCTCCCATGGAAACGGGACCCGTCGCTAATCCACGCCCCCTTGATCCATGTTTGCGATCGCCTGAGAACACTCATGCGACATTCATCTGTCAACGCCTCCCCCTCCCCCCAATGTTCAAAGTTGGCGGTGGGTCTGACGAGTTGCACCTCGACCGCAATCTCCCCCGCGCGTGCCAACTTTGAATTTTTGGGGGGATGGGGAGTGTTCCGTTCTATTTTCCCCCTGCCGTGTTGAGACAAGAAGAGGTGCCATGAGATCTGTGGAGATGTCAGGGCCCCCGCTACGATATCCCCACAATAATATCAAACCACCTCCCTTGGCACCGCATTCCGTCTCCTCCTCCTCCTCCTACATCGTTACCATAGTCATACTAATCCTTCACACCGCCCCGCGCCCATAACTACTCACCCCTCTGCGCAGTACTAACCTCCTCCTCCCTCCTCCTCCTCCTCGTCCTCCTTCTCCTCCTCCTCCTCCTCCTCCTCCTCCTCCTCCTCCTCCTCCTCCTCGTCCTCCTCCTCCTCCTCCGAGACCTGGACCCCGGGAGCGGCCCGAGGGCCGGGGCCCCTCCGGAGCCCCAAGAGAGTGGTCCTCGCTGGCTCCAGTGGGCGTTGCTGCCGCTCGGGCGTCCATTCTTCCCCGTGCCGTTTTCGGTTTTTCGTGTGCGTTTTTTTTTTGCTCGAGGGTCCCACTTAGCTTCGACCGGAAGAGATGCGCTCTTTGTTTCCCGTGCCTTTTTCGGTTTCGTGCGTGTTTTTTTTGCTCCTTTTTCCTTCCTCTGCTAATCAAAGCTGTGCGCGGCCCGCTCAGCTTCGACCGGAAGAGATGCGCTCTCGACCCGCGGATCGAACAATTTTTTTTTGCTCGATGGTCCAGGATGGTCCTCGGGCGTCCATTTTTCCCGTGCCTTTTCCGGTTTCGTGCGTGTTTTTTTGCTCCTTTTTCCTTCCTCTGCTAGTCAAAGCTGTGCGCGGCCCGCTTAGCTTCGACCAGAAGAGGCTCGCTCTCGACCCGCGGATCAAACATGCTTTTTTTGCTCGAGGGTCCAGGATGGTCCTCGAGGGTCCTCGCCGAGAAAAAATGCACACGTCCGAACGATGCCAGGCCAGAGGTCTTGGCTCTGCCCGGCACGACGTCGGGGACGCGCTGGCCCGGGCCAAGCCAGAGCGGTGCCAGGTCGGCCTCTGCGGGCTCCCGCAGGATCCTGCAGGATCCTGCACGCAGGCCCAGGTCAGTGCACCCCTGGCTCTGAAGGATCCTGCAAGATCTGGCGCCCTGGCTGAACCCCGTTTGCATTGACCCCCGTCTCTTGAGCCCCGATGACGTTGCTGGCAAGAGAACTATGAAGCACAATCGACCACCAGATCTTAAGCTCAAGGTCGGGATGCAAGACACTCGAACG